CACAAATAAAACATCATCACCCTGAATGCAGGATGCAGGTCAGACCTGTTGTATTGGATTGTACAGGTCTACATAATGTGACACACCTGCTGAGGGACAATAAGTCAGGTGCTTTACAGGAACTCAGTTCTAGTGAGACTGGCAGTGTTATGAATCATTTCTGTTTACACCCAGGTGTAGCTATGACGAAGGTTACTGTCTGACACTCTGATGCTGAACTGAGAATAAATAGAGATGCATCGAATGTTCGGCCAGTTTTCAGCTGGATCGGTGAGCGAATCTTTCTCAGTGAAATCAGGTGAGATTATAAAGTCTTTATTTTAAAGAGCACGATGCCTGATTCTTGTTCGACCCATCATTCTTTTAGAGACATTTATTTTGTTAATCTGCAGAAAATCAGATGAACACTTAAATATTAATCCGACATTTTTTCTCAACTTTTAATTTCATTTAAATTATTTATTTTGTCTTTTTTTATTGTGTGCTCAACTGCACATGTGTAAATAGAGTACACGTGTATATACTTCCACAGCTGGAAGTATCAGCAGTATTGTGTCACAGTCTAAGATGCATAAATGCATGAGCAGAAAAACGGTAGTTAAAAAGTCGGGATAGACTTTTTATTTTATTTCAGCAAGTGCCGTTAAGAAACACTACGTTTTGTAAACAAAAATAATAAGCACACTGTTTGCTGCTGTTCTGAATATACTATTAGTTAAAAAGTCGGGAGGGACGTGCTCTGTTTTTGTATCCAGGGCCTGTACTGAACAGCAACAGCAAATAGCAGTATACTTACCTAAACTACCCAGTCATAAGTAAAGTAATATTGTAACTTTTAAAAGGAGTAATAAGCAGCTTATTTCAATTTCTGAGTAGCTTGGCCAATACAAAAAAAAACCTCAAGGTCCACATTGGGGCCTTCAGTTGTATTTTATGGTCTTTTTTATTCATCTTAGCCGACGCTTTTATCCAAAGAGATTTACAATTGCTATAGGTCAGAGGTCTCTGAAGCAACTAGGGGTTAGGTGTCCTGCTTAGGGACTCACTGGTGTGTTACAGTGGGAGTTGAACCCAGGTCTCCCACACCAAAGGCCACACCCATGATCTTCAGCAGCAGATTGCTCAGTAGTCATGGAGATGGATTAGTTGTACCAAATAATTAGTTATCCTTTCTTTCAGAATTTCTCCGTGGTTTGAGGATCCAGAGGACACAGAGACCTCCATCATGGCCACCGCTGTCCTGCTACAGCAGCTGATGTTAAAGGATCCAGAGGACACAGAGACCTCCATCATGGCCACCGCTGTCCTGCTACAGCAGCTGATGTTAAAGGATCCAGAGGACACAGAGACCTCCATCATGGCCACCGCTGTCCTGCTACGGCAGCTGATGTTAAAGGATCCAGAGGATACAGAGACCTTCATCAAGGCCACCGCTGTCCTGCTACAGCAGCTGATGTTAAAGGATCCAGAGGACACAGAGACCTCCATCATGGCCACCGCTGTCCTGCTACAGCAGCTGATGTTAAAGGATCCAGAGGACACAGAGACCTTCATCAAGGCCTCTGCTGACCCGCTGCTGAAGCTGATGTTCTCCTGGATCAAGCAGAGGGAGCTCTGTGCAGAGCTGAGGTTAGAGGATCAGGCCCAGGAGCTAGAGTCAATTCAATTCAAATTAGCTTTATTGGCATGAATGTGTAACAACAATATTGCATCATAGCAATATAAAAAAGCATCATAAAACTACATCAGAACAATCAACCCCATACATTTCATTTAACAAGTTATTAAAGCGTGTGTGTTAAAAAATAAAACTATATTAAAAATGAAATAAATAAATAAAACTGTGTGTGTGTGTGTGTGTGAGAGTGTGTGTGTGTGTGTGTGTGATACATTTTTTTTAAATATAATAAAAATTTTAATTAAATAAATAAATAAAACAGTCAAAAGATAAGAAAAAATAAAAATAATGAATTGATTCAAAATAATAAAAAAAAAGATAGAATCAAAAAGCAATTGCTAAAATAGCAAGCTATCAAAATAATAATAATTTGTGTACAATAGTGTAATGTGTACAATTGTTTATCAGTCTGAGGTTCCACTGGTTGCCCTCACTTCATGGCATGAGGAGATATATTTTGCAGCAAGTATTTCACATTTGGGCATTTCTCCCACTAAATAGGGGAGTTTTTGTGTGTCTGATATGAATTCGAATTCGGGGTATATTTGGGAAATGTTTGCAAAGTGTTTTTTTCTTAGTGTTTTATATTTGGGGCATGAGGTTAGAAAGTGCAGCTCTGTCTCTACCTGTCCCCTGTCACATTGGGAGCAGAGTCTCTCCTCTTGTGGTAGCCGGCTCTGTCTGTGGCGACCCTTTTCTATGGCCAGGCTGTGTTCACTCAGTCTGTATGTTGTCAACATTTTTCTTAGTTTAGGACATTTTATTGTACTCAGGTAATTTGCCAGTGTGAATTCTCTTTTTAGGGTCAGATAACATTGGAATTTACTGTTTCTTTCCAGTATTCAATATATTTTTCTTTCTGCTTGTTGATTATTTGGTTTGGTCTGCTTGAGTTGGTGTTGCTGTCCTGAGGCTGTTGGGGACTTGTTACTGCAGAGAGCCTCAGGACCAGCTGGCTGAGGGGACTCTTCTGGTTTCAGCTCCTGGTATGTTAGGGCTTTGTGATGATATGTGTGGGGGTTAACTGATTTTAAGTGATTGTGAAATTTAAGTGATCTTTTCTGTATTTTTAGTAGGGGGGGGTATTGGCCGAGCTCTGCTCTGCACAGGTTATTTGGTGTCTTTCTCTGCACCTGCAGGATGCTCTTACAGAACTCTCTATGGAAAGATTCTATGATTGTTTTGTCCCATTTGTCAAATTATTATTATTGTCTTATTATTATTAAGTTTTGGCCCCCAGATTTCGCTACCATATAGAATTATTGGTTCTAGTACAAATTGGAATATTTTCAGCCAGATTTCAATTGGAATATAGATTTTAAAGTTTATTTTTATTGCATAGAAAGCTCTCCTTGCTTTGTTCCTGTTGAAGTTCCCTGTGTATGTAATGTTGAGGCCAAGGTAAGTGTAGTTTTTTTGTGTGTTGTAATTTAGTGGTGTCTCCTATTTCTGTATTTTAGTCTTTGCTGTGTTTACTGTCAGGGCCCAGGTCTGACAGAATCTCTGAAGGAGGTTAAGGTACTGCTGCAAACCTTCTTTAGTAGGTGAGAGCAACACTAAGTCATCTGCATACAGCAGACCTCTGATCTCTGTGTCGTTCAGGAGGAGGCCAGGTGCCGTGGAACTTTATAATTGGTTTGCTAATTCATTGATATATAGATTAAAGAGAATTGGACTGAGATTGCATCCCTCACATGGGAGAAGAACGCTGTTTGTTTGTTTCCAATCTTTATAGCACATTCACTTTTTGTATACATGTTCTTAATCAAATCAAATGTGTTTCCTCTAATGCCACTTTCAAGTAGCCTATAGAAGAGGCCCTCATGCCAGATGGAAGTCAACAAAACAGGCATAAACCTTTCTTTTCTTAATGTTTAAGTCTTGATCAATTAGAGACTGGAGGGTAAATATATGGTCTGTTGTGTGGCAATTTGGCATTTATGCAGAATATTGTGGTTATCAACAAAGTTGACAAGTTGTTTATTAATGATGTTGCAGAATATTTTTCCCAGGTTACTGGATACACATATTCCTCTGTAGTTATTTGGGTCATATTTATCTCCGTATTTATAAATTGGGGTTATTAAACCTTTGTTCCAGATGTCTGGAAAAGTTCCAGTTGCTAGAATAGTATTGAACAGTTTTAGTATAGCCAATCTGATTTTATGGTCTGAGTATTTGATCATTTCGTTGATTTCAATACCACAAGCCTTTTTTCCTTTCAGGGACTGGATGACTTCTGTTAATTCTTGTTCTGTTACAGGGTAATCTAGAGGGTTCTGGTTGTTTTTTATCACTGCCTCCAGAGTTTTCCATTTCGTGAATATCTTGTACTGATCATCATTTTTTGTAATATTACTGTATAATTCACTAAAGTGATTAAGTAAGTAAGTATTTCCATCTTGGATCGCCAATTCATCCTGCTGGGTTTTGTTTAGGTTGTTCCATTTCTCCCAGAACTGGTTGGACTCTAAGGATTCCTCAGTTTCACAGAGCTGCTTCTTGCTGTGTTGTTTTTTCTTAGTTTTTAGGGTGTACTTGTTTCAGAGTGGCCTCATATTGATAGCGTATGTTTTGGTTATCTGGGTCCCTGTGCTTTTCATTTGATCATTTCCTTAAAGTTTTCCTTGGGTCTTTGCATTGATTGTCAAACCATTAGTTACTGTTCATTTGTTGAGGTTTTGGTTTGGAGGCTTTCAAATTAGACAATGAAGCCAAATGCTGAAATATTGAATTGATTTTGTCCACAGCAGAATTTACACCAGAATTATTCTGGGGAAATGTTTCAGTTAGAAATAAATGAGTTAAATCATGTATGTTTTGATTTTCCAGACCCAGAGAGTCCCCTCGTAGCCCGCCGTCGACTCCGTACAGACCCAGAGAGTCCCCTCGCAGCCCGCCGTCGACTCCGTACAGACCCAGAGAGTCCCCTCGCAGCCCGCCGTCGACTCCGTACAGACCCAGAGAGTCCCCTCGCAGCCCGCCGTCGACTCCGTACAGACCCAGAGAGTCCCCTCGTAGCCCGCCGTCGACTCCGTACAGACCCAGAGAGTCCCCTCGTAGCCCTCCGTCGACTCCGTACAGACCCAGAGAGTCCCCTCGTAGCCCGCCGTCGACTCCGTACAGACCCAGAGAGTCCCCTCGTAGCCGGCCGTCGACTCCGTACAGACCCAGAGAGTCCCCTCGTAGCCGGCCGTCGACTCCGTACAGACCCAGAGAGTCCCCTCGTAGCCGGCCGTCGACTCCGTACAGACCCAGAGAGTCCCCTCGTAGCCGGCCGTCGACTCCGTACAGACCCAGAGAGTCCCCTCGTAGCCGGCCGTCGACTCCGTACAGACCCAGAGAGTCCCCTCGTAGCCGGCCGTCGACTCCGTACAGACCCAGAGAGTCCCCTCGTAGCCCGCCGTTGACTCTGTACAGACCCAGCGCACGGCAGAGCTGTAGAATTTGCATACCGCTTGCGTTAGTAAGCTTATCAAAGCTCTTTCTAGCAGGACATTCAGGGAGGGGGAAGCAGTTGCTTCCAGGTAAGTGTTTGTCTCCCTGGGTGTTCATAGTGTCGGCTCTTTACCCTGTTCGAGTGTTGAAGTGTCCACAGAGTATAGAGAAAGTATCTGGGTTGTAGTAGGGGGGTTCTGATGGAGGTATATAGATGGCACACATGTAGACATGTGCCATGTTTGTTAATTTTCAACCATATATTAGCTTCTTCTTGTTTAATAACTGATGGACTGGCTCAGTTCTGATTTACACAATATAGTCAGGCCTCCTGAATCTCTGCCTTGGGTTATTGTGGGATTTTTTGTTGATGGTATAATAATGTCAGTGTAGCCGTGAGGACGACCAGTGGAAACATCTTCTCTGCACCATGTCTCCTGTAAAACTATGATGTCAGAGTCTTTTAACTCTCTATTAAAATCTGGATTTCTGCTCTTTAAACCAAAAGCTGATGATCTCAGACCTCGAATGTTCCAACATGTTATTGTAAACGATTTCATCTCCAAGTGTAATCTGTTCAAAAATTAGACAAACACCTTAAAAAACAAATAATAGTAAAGTAGATATTAAAAATAATACTATTAACAAACAAAAAGGAAAAAGTGTAAAAAGAGGAAAATTAAACTAAATGAATAAAATATTAAACTTTGAGTGTTGAGTGTTTCACGTGTGAAATACTGTTAAGAATTGTCCTTAAATTGCTACTCGTTTAAAATGATATCCAACATGCTAAACCATGAATTATATTGATGTCGTCTGGTTTCTTCACAGGAAGATGTTTGACCAGATGGCTACAAGTCAGCGAGAACACGAGGACGAGCTTCAACAAGACAATAATATTAGTTCATATCCAGCTGAAGAGACTGAAACAGACAAACCTAAGTGGAGCAGAGAGGAGAGCGATCAGGAGGAAGAGGAGGGTGATGGAGAGGAGGAAGAGAGCGATCAGGAGGAAGAGGAGGGTGATGGAGAGGAGGAAGAGAGCGATCAGGAGGAAGAGGAGGGTGATGGAGAGGAGGAAGAGAGCGATCAGGAGGAAGAGGAGGGTGATGGAGAGGAGGAAGAGAGCGATCAGGAGGAAGAGGAGGGTGATGGAGAGGAGGAAGAGAGCGATCAGGAAGAATCCCAAAAATGGGAAGACAAAGATAAAAATCAAGAAATTTTTGAGAAGATAAAGGATTTAGAGGCCAGGCAAGGTACATCTGAATCTGCAATAAGGGTGGGGTTGATCAATGTTTCGTCACTGAACAAGAAGAAAACTCCGAGGATCAAAGCTCTCATAGAAACAAACAAACTGCACGCCCTTCTTACAACAGAGACGCATTTAAAAAGTGAAAATGCAAAGGATGTGCTCAAGAAGGCTACGCCTGAAAACTACAGGTTTTGTTATCAGTGTAGAGATGGAGGACGGGGAGCGGGGCCGACAGGAGAAGAGCAGAAAGATGGAGGGGTAGGAATGCAAGAAGGTGGAGGGGTAGCAATCCAGTTCCTAAATAATGAAGAATGTCACCCAATCCATTTTGATGTTGATATTGAACATGTTGGCGCAAAGCTGACATTTGGTGGACGGGAGGTTATGATTATCTGTGTGTATCGTCCACCAAGCAATGGATGCAAGAAATTTCTAAAACAGACAGAAAAAGACTTCAAGAATTTTCTGAAGGAGATGGGCCTAGACAGCCAAAGTAGTCAGGATGAGAAGGACAAGAACAGCGAGAATGTTCTTACTGAGAGGGACAAGAAGGTGAGGACATTTTTAGAAGATAAGTGCACGGAAATCAACAACTGTTTGAACCCAGTCAGGAAATTTCAGAAAAAGATACAAGAGGACATCGAGAAATTTCTGGAGGAGATGGGGCTAGACAGCCAAAGTAGTCAGGATGAGAAGGACAAGAACAGCGAGAATGTTCTTACTGAGAAGGAGAAGAAGGTCAGGACATTTTTAAAAGATAAGTGCACAGAAGTCCAAAAATGTTTCAACCCAGTCGGGAAATTTCTGAAAAAGTTTGAAGAGCTTGTGAATTGTGTTTCCAACACTCACAAAGACCAAAGTATCATTATCGCTGGTGATTTCAATTTCCAAGTTAATAAAGACGACAACAAAGACGCTAATCATTTTAAAGAGCTTTTAAAAAATGTTGAACTTAATCTAGAATCTAATAGAACAGACAATCCTGTGTGGGAGGCAACACACGAGAAAGGTAACACTCTGGATCTGGTCATCACCAAAAATGTTAAAATCAATTATCACTTTGTCCACAAACCCGACCCCGTCCCCAAACTATCAGATCATTACACCATATTTTTCTCCGCAGGGCTAAAATAAAAAAAAGAAACGCCTGCACATCAACATCAACATCAGGGGTATTCAATTTGAATTCAAAGAGGTCCAGTTAGAGACAATTTCCCGAAGCAAAGGTCCGGAACATCATGGAGCGCGAGCGTGAGCGCGAGCGTACGTGTTGGTAAATGCAACTTTCAGTGTGTGTATTGATAACAGATCGTGCGCATCTTTAAAGTATGATTCAATTTTGCGTAAAATCATCCTCTGCACTGTAATAGCACAATACATTAGATAACTGCCCCCCAAAAAGGACACGATCCCCTCTCACTTGGCTTCCCCAATAACTTACCACACCCCACGCCACTGACACAGAGAAATCCTCAACATTAACATGAATCCTGATGATGGGATATATTCCATATACTGATGAACAGAATCAGAGTGTCGTCTGCTGCTTAAACACCAGATGGCAGCAGAGATCAGACTCACCCAGAGAGAGCGCCACGCACACACTGACAACATGTGATGTCATGTGTGATGCCACTTCTATAACATGATGTCATGGGGGATGTCATTTCTGTTACAGGTGATGTCACTTCTATATGGTGTGATGTCATTTCTATAAGGTGTGATGTCATTTCTGTTACAGGTGATGTCATTTCTATAAGGTGTGATGTTATTTTTCCATAAGGTGTGATGTTATTTTTCCATAAGGTGTGATGTCATTTCTATAAGGTGTGATGTCATTTCTATAAGGTGTGAAGTCATTTCTATAAGGTGTGAAAGGTGTGATGTTATTTCTATAAGGTGTGAAAGGTGTGATGTCATTTCTATAAGGTGTGATGTTATTTCTATAAGGTGTAATGTCATCTCTATAAGGTGTGAAAGGTGTGATGTCATTTCTATAAGGTGTGATGTTATTTCTATAAGGTGTGATGTCATCTCTATAAGGTGTGATGTTATTTTTCTATATGGTGTGATGTTATTTTTCTATATGGTGTGATGTTATTTCTATAAGGTGTGATGTTATTTTTCCATAAGGTGTGATGTTATTTCTATAAGGTGTGATGTCATTTCTATAAGGTGTGATGTCATTTCTATAAGGTGTGAAAGGTGTGATGTTATTTCTATAAGGTGTGAAAGGTGTGATGTCATTTCTATAAGGTGTGATGTTATTTCTATAAGGTGTAATGTCATTTCTATAAGGTGTGATGTTATTTCTATAAGGTGTAATGTCATCTCTATAAGGTGTGAAAGGTGTGATGTTATTTCTATAAGGTGTGAAAGGTGTGATGTCATTTCTATAAGGTGTGATGTTATTTCTATAAGGTGTGATGTCATCTCTATAAGGTGTGATGTTATTTTTCTATATGGTGTGATGTTATTTTTCTATATGGTGTGATGTTATTTCTATAAGGTGTGAAAGGTGTGATGTTATTTTTCTATAAGGTGTGAAACAGAAATGCATTCCTGAAACAAAAAATTTAACCAAATTAAAATAACAGTCCGATTTTGGTTTTTGCAAATTTGCTTCTTGTTTCTTTGTTTGAATAAAGACATTATGAAAATAAAAACAGGTGGGTCAGGTGACCCGGAAGTAAAAGTACATATTAAAAAATAAAAGCAAAGAGTTTAGAATGGCCGTTCTGTAACAGTATGCAGCACTAACGTTATACCAAGGTAACGTCAGAGGAAACATTAAATAATAAATAAATGAACTGGACTGATGGGAGTCTGTTAGCATCAGCTAGTGTTGTAGTATCTAGATCGGTCTTGGTCTGGAGACCGGCCTTAAGTCCACTTCTTGGTCTCGTCTCGACGGCACTTGTACTCTGTCTTGTCTCGGACATTGAGGACTCAGGATTTTATTTCAGTTTTTACTAGTCAAGACCATAACTTTGGGAATATCAATAAATTGCTTTTGCATTGTCTGATGTATTCGTTAACATCCTAACTTTGATTGGATGTAAAATGTTTTGCTTCATATGGAACCAATAACTCAAATTACAATGTACTGTTCCCATTAACGACTGCCCCACCCCCTCTATCTGATTACATGTGGTTTAATATTGTGCATTTATCCATGTACACAGCAAGAGTCTGCTCTCCTCATCTCCTTCTTCCTCTCCGTTGGGTTTACAGGGGTCTCTGTTGTAGCTCCCAGTCACCACTTTAGAATATTTCCATTCTGCAACTGCGAGCCTCGTCCATCTTTCTCTTTTGTTCTTCAATAAATCATTTAATCCCGTCTATTGATTGTGTGGTTCTTGCTAGTGAAATGGCTCATTTCATGATGAACTGTTCCAAACTTTCAAGAATGCAGGAATAAAGGTCTCTAAAGACCCAGAGCCAAATGTTTTGTCTGGAGAGTGGGCTGACCGGGGACCAGTTCCCAGAGCCAACTGTTTGCCTAAGCCCCCTGTCGTGTAAAAATTCAAGACTTGGGCCAGATAAGAAAGCTTGAACTTTTACCAACATTTTTATTATCAACAAAAACAGACACCAATTAGAATCCAAAAGTTCCACCGGAGTGAGTCAGAGATCCGTGCAAAATAGAGCCCCATTCTGTTACCAGAACAGAGACCCGAGTCCACATGAAAACCATGTAACGACTTTCACCTCCTTTTATAGCTCTGCTTCTTGGCTTCACATCATCTCTTGGCTCTCTTTCCTGCTGCACCTGAATCTGGGAAAGTCCAAGATTTTCACGTGCCCAAGTATTTGGTGGGAAAGTCCCTGACTGCCTGCTCCTCCTCTCTGTGTCCTCTGCATGAACTCTGCTTGATCATGCCATTTCTTCCATAACCTGACTTTTGTGGAATAAACTGGTGTTGTTTGTGCTCTGTGCTAGAAACAGGACATTCTCACTGTGATGGACTATATTGATGTATGTTTTGTAATACAATTTTCACAAAATCTGCTTCTATATTTTCCTTTGTAAGTGTTTTTGATGCTCCCTCCCTTTTCTCCCAAAGCACACGAGCTTGCTCACACTCACACACACACATACACACACACATGTGCTACTGCTGAGTCTGGGCAGGAAGGAGCACACACACTCAGAGCTGTAGAGTTTTAACACTGTGATCCTAACTTTACACTATAAAATAACACTTTAAATGATGATGTAGACCACCATTGCTCTAGTAATTAATGAAAAACATTTAGGCTATAATGCTCTAAATTAATTCACATCACCCCCCTGACCAGAAGTCACATGACTTACAGAAAGTGATCTGCAGGAGGGACTCTGGTCCGTCTGCAGTCAGGCAGAGGAAGGAAAACAACTACAGGAACTTAACTTCAACAACAGGAAGTGTGTTTGGCTGCAGATTCTCTCCAAACTTTATCCCACTACAACTTTCAGCAGCAGGTAAGAAACTCTGATCTGTATGTACATGTCTCCAGCTAGACTACAGAACACTGTGATTGGTCAGGTTCTCCTCACAGCTTCTTTATATTTACTGAGCTGACGGACTACATGGATTGAGAGAGAAAGTTTCACGGATATCTGAAGCATAAGAAGACTCAGCAGCTCAGCTCTGTGTAACACGCCCAGGATACTGGATACTCTGACCCTGCAGTACATGGTGTCGCAGTAAAAACAGTTTGATCTGACACGTAAAGAAACAACTGAGAGAACCTTCAAACAGTGAAACCAAGTAAGTTCATAAAGTCTTAATCTCTTAAGGAAGTCAGTCTCTCCTGATCAGGTGGAGATCTTCTGTTCACCCATCTTTTTCTTAGAGACATTAATCTGACATTATAAATGCCATCATGTCCAAAACCTTTGGTCTGATCAGACAGAGTATGTATTCCCAAAAGTCTTTACCGTCATCAGTCTGGGCTAAACGAGCTTTCTTGTGTTTTGGCTTCAGTAGTGGCCATGCACCCACACAGTCCTCGCATATAAACAAACGTACATACATATGAATCACATATATAAATTTCCATATATGGATTCACTCCCTGATGGTGTTTTTTCCTGTTCAAGGTCTTTTGTTGTTTTGAGCCAGTTATTGTTTCCAAGAGGTCAGAGATCACTTATCAATACTTTACTATTATTTAGTGACGGTTATTTGGTAAGACCAGCCCCAACGGGCATGAGGTAGGCCTGCACGGCGTGAGGAAAATATTCAATGTGCGATAACATCATTATATATTGAGGTGACATACGACCTGCAATAAATAAACTAATGTTGAAGTGTGCATGTTAGCTGCCTGGTTGTTTTTAAATTATAAGATTAGACTTTAATATTTTAAATACAACTAAATGTTTTTTCTAGAGCAGCAACAACTTCACTAAATATAAAGTCAATATCTGACATCACAATACTTTTAGAAAGAATGAAGAACTCAGACAACAGTCAGTATGTTCCTCCTCTTCCTCCTCTCTGCTGTTATTCACTGCCTGCAGGTAACGTTACCTGGTAGGAGGAGGAGCGTCTGGTTTGTCTCAGCCAGTAGCTGAATTTACAACAATGTGCCAAATTTAAGCCTACAGACCAGGCTAAGATACGGAAACCATAAACTATTAAGATATATTTATCTCTTTCATCTACTTGTTAGTTAAGAGTTAAATGTTGTGCTGTTGTGTTTTGTTCTTATCAGTTGGTCTATTTCTGTGTCACACAGAGCACATTTCTGCACGTGTTCACACTTGGCCGATAAAGCTGATTCTGATTTTGATGTTGACTATTGTCATTGTTGGTGGTGTTTCAAAGTGTTTCACATTAGGCTGAAAAGGCATTTAAAATATAAAAAGAAAGATCAAATAACAGCTCAGATGCCATTCGCGTGCAGTAATTTTTATTTATTTATATATTTAAAAAGCATATCTTTTCAGCAATGGTTATATGCCAGAATTAGCCCGAAGGCTATTTTCCATCTGTAGTCCTCAGCAGGTCGTCGCAAGGTACAAAGTAACACAGCTAAACATTATATTAGAAATATGATATAACACAATTTAAAAGACAGCACAGTTTTGTAGACAGGGTTATGTAATTTTAAGTGCTGTTTATGCAGTGAAGTGCTGCATCTAGTACAGCATACATACCCCTGATCTCTGTCCTCTTCATGGACAATACAAACACCATGCAGCCCCCTCTCGTGGAGGCCCTGGTTACAGTTCTGCCACCACCGGTGTATTTTTAATGGGGTTGGAGCAAGTTCATGTTGAATCTTATATATAGTGCAGGCAAATTTAACCTGTTGGAAACAGCCACCTAGTTCCAGGATGAAACGCCTAAAATAACATACCCAAAATGAATCAGTAATAACTCCTCAACCATTTGACCTAGATGCATAATTATGGTCTCCTTTGAAAGGTCAGAAGCTCAGGAATATAAATCCATTGTACATTAACAGACTACATGGAGATGCAATAAAAAAGCTCTATTTTAATGCAATAAACCATCAAAACCATCATCAAATAGATTATAATGCAACTGAATATCTTCTAATACACCTGGAATGCAATTGTAACTGTAATTTTGATGAAAATAAACTAAAATACAACAGTTTTACAATTTTAAAAATATACCAGGCAAATATTTACTGTTTAAATGTTGAGTTTTATTGGGAGTTATCTTTAAAACATTATTTCTGTCCATACAACCAAGTTCCATATAATATAAAGCTTCCAAAACATTGAAATATTGATAAAAAGAGTGACTATTGATCAACATTCCTGTGAGCAAAAGCACTCCCATGCTTTACAGGCGTGTAGCTGGAGAACGGAACATCCCACAGTGATGGGGGGCATCAACTGATGGGATTGAGCAGACCTTTCATTTGATACCCGGGGCCCAGTTGTTCAAAAGTAATCTGATCGGATTTCTGCTGTTGGATTGGATCAAATCTTGAAAATGGGTTGTTCTAAAGAAGAAAAGGATTCTGAAATCGCATCAGATCACCTAATCCAATCCTGGTTTTGATCTTGATCAAAGCTTCAGTTTGTGTTGTTCAAAACTTTTTAGTAGAAATAGGATCCCTTTGATCCAAAAAATCTGGATTATCCTGATCCCAACAGAAGGCTGGATTTTAGGAACAAAATGTCACTTTTAAAATCTTCCAAATAATACAAAATTTTTATCATGTAGTAGCCTATATACACATTTATTTATATTTTGCACTTGATTTGTTTAAACTTTACAGTGATAAAGTAGATAAAGTAGACATTACCTATATGCCTTTCAGTACAGTAAAGTAAAAAATAAATAATCCCCAAACAGCTGTGAATATCAAACAAAAATAATGTATTTAATTTCAACTGTCACTTATTGCTGTACTTTAATTACAAAGGCACAATCAGCAAGGGGTGAACAATTCAAAAGTAGTTTGTAACAAGTTCATTCCTCATTGCAGGTCCAGTCCCATTCTGAGATCTCTGAATGATCCAACTATTGGACTGTGTCACGATCCTGTCTGCCATGTCATGTTTTGTACTTTTAGTCAGTTTTATTATATGTAGTTTTGGTCTGTTGGGTTTTGGGGGTCTGTCTTGTCTGTCGTCTAGTGTTTAGTAAGTCACGTCTGTTACCCCAGTGATCCCTCTGCATGTCTGTCCCTCGTTAACCCTGATCTCTGTCACCTGTGTTGCTCCCGCCCTGCTCGTTATCCGTGTGTGTGTGTGTGTGTGTGTGTGTGTGTGTGTGTGTGTGTGTGTGTGTGTGTGTGTGTGTACTTGGTGTTTCTGTCTTGTCCTTGTCGGGTCATTGTCTGCTGTCTCCCTGAGTTGCTGTGTGATCGCTTGTTGTCTGCCCTTTCGTCGTATCTCCCTGTTTCCCTGCACCATTCGGATTTCGGTTTGGACAACCTCTGTTTTGGACTCGGTATCAGCCACTCAAACCTGTGCTCGCTGTGCTGTGCTTTAGTTGTTTAAATAAATCACTAAACTGTACCTGCCGGCTCCAACCTGCTCAACCCTGCCTTTACCACAAAGGCATGACACTGAAGCGGCCGCCTGACTGTCGATATCAAAGCACATATTGGAACAAGTACGTCTTTAGAAACATCGAAATTACGGTTAAATAGGCTGTTAGTTTTTGTTTTACCCTAAGCCTTATGTAATAATGTTAACGTATCGATGCTCCACTCCTGCGTTTTAGAGCCAATCATGGTCCGCGTTGGCAGCGTTCATATTTCTAGCTCCACCCGATTAAAATGGAGGCCGTTGCCATGGTGAATTGTAGTATCGGAGCTCCATTGATGAGGCTTTTTTTCCTCCCCACTCGCGCCTCCATCAGGCTCAACATACTCAGAGCTGACTGAACTTATTCTGATCGGCCTTTCTGAAACCAAAAGCTTGGAGTTCAGGTTCACACTCAAAGTTTGTTGAACCTGCTTTCTGAAACAGGCCCCTGAACCAAGGTCCAGTGAGGCCCTCAACTATTTTGTAAATGCTTCACCCTCTAAGGCGATGCTACATAAATGATGGCGTACATCACACATGTACAGCGCACAACACAGCCTGTCACACACCTCTGGACGCAGGAGGAGGGACTGCGTCGGCACTGCCGTGGTCACGCACGGGGGAACAGCATCACACACTGCCCGACAGATTTCTCCTTCAGAAGAATATCTGTACAGGGTGTGTATGTGTTGTGTCCACACGAAGCAAAGTGTCAAGTCGAGGGCTTCGTCCAGAGAGTGGGTGGACCACCACACCACCTCGTCCTCACGCTGCTTCTCTTCAAGGGAGAGAAGATCGCAGAATGAGGAGCGTGAACCGAGGGTGAGCGCTCTGCCGGCGTGCTACGTTCCGAGGCGCACGCAGCATGGGGGATAACGTCAGAAAGAAGCCTGTGTCACGGACGCCGCACACCCGTACTGGTGTGGCGGCGTCCCGCCCCGCTCGGGCCAACTTGCTAGAAGACATCGCTCTTCTTTCCTGATTGGAAATCTTCTGCTCTTTAGACAGCTCAGTGCTGAAGAAAAATGGGAGCCAAAGGCCGGGTCTCACCGCTGTGTGTGTGTGTATATATACATCCCCCAAAATGCACCACAGGAAGTCATTCCTCCCTGTGGCCATCAAACTCTATAAGTGTCTGACACACGGCTGCGTTCAGACTGCAGGCCGATGTGACCCAAATCCTTATGTGACTCGGATCTGATCTTTTTATGACAGTGTGAACAGGCCGGGTCACGTGGAGTCTGATCTGTTCCAGTTCGGAACTGGTCCACTTTCATATGTGGTCCAAATCCGATCTTTTTAAACGCCACCTGTCTGGACACTCAGGTCGCATTTGATGCGACTTTGACGTCACTGCAGAGCAGCTGTTGTCACAGCTCTGCTGTGGACGGAGCCGCCATTATTAACACGTGGCTCTCTTCCATCGCTACCTCGCTATTATCTTATTATTCTTCTACCTGAACTCCACCGGACCGGAGCTCTCTTCTGAGTTACGTGTATGCTACTTGTCCGAGCGGACACACCGGGCAGAGAGATGGAGTGAGCGACTTGTGGGGCAGATGCGTTGTCCAGCGCCAGAAACCGTAATGAAACGAACAGGAAGTTGTGAACACTTGTCATAATTCTGGAGAAATGTGACGAGTTCTTCTTCTGCGCATGCGGGTCACTTTCAGGCCGCCAACAGTTCACACTGGAGTCTGATATGGGCCACATTTAAACTAATAATGTGAACCGTCAAACTACAAAAATTGGATCTTGAATTGAGCATTAAGGCGTGCAGTCTGAATGTAGCCTTAGTCTGTTTTAAACTGGACACTATTATCTGTTTTGTGCAATAACACCTGCTTAAATACTTAACGTACAATACTCTGCTGCTACTATTTATTCATTATTACTGTTCACCATAACAATTCTTTAATAATGCAAATATTGTACATATCCACAGACTTTATATTTTTCTATATATTTTATATTTAAACTCTTCTCTTTCTATTATTATTTCTATTCCTTATGCCTTGATGTGCAATGTGTACAACTGTGACACAAGAATTTCCCCTCGGGGATCGAAGTATTTCTGATTGTGATAAGAGGCAAAAAATGGATGGATGGATATTTAAATTATTTATAGTATTTTAGTGTTTGAACCTCTGCTATTCTTTTTCTTTCTTTTTCTTTTATATAGCGGTTCTAAAAAAATCCGTCACTTTATCTCAAACATTAAAAACAAAGTTTTAACTTTTTTTTGTGTTTCGTTGTCTTCATCAGTAGAAAGTTTGCTCAGTTGTCATGGAGATGTTTTAGCTAATCTGTCCTCTGACTTTCTTCTTTCAGACCTGATTCAGCTCTCAGCTCAGAGGATCCAGAGGACACAGAGACCTCCATCATGGCCACCGCTGACCTGCTGCTGGAGCTGATGTTCTCCTGGATCCAGCAGAGGGAGCTCTGTGCAGAGCAGCTGAAGAAACTGGCCCAGGAGCTGGAGTCTCTCAGGGAGAAATGCAACGTCAGTGAATGTGTTGGCAGCTCAGCGGCAGTGGTTGGAGCTGCATGTGTGATCGGGGCTGGCGCAGTCACTTTGTTCACCGGTGGAGCAGCTGTTCCACTTTTAGGCTTGATCGGAGCAGTGTCTTCAGTTGGAGGGGTCACCATATCTGTGGTTACTAAACTCACTGAGCACTTCTTATCCAGTAGCACCATGAAAGAGGCGCAGAAGATAGAAGAGCAGAGCAACAAAATTGCAGAAAGAATCCAGAAACTGTTCCAGCAGCTGAAGGCCGAGGTGAAGAACAGGAGTTCCTCAGCAGACCCAGATAAACTGGACCGACGCATGATGATGGAAATTCTGACAGCCATGGGCCGACGCAGTGGGCTGAAGGGGGAGATCAACGTCCGCATGTGTGGTGACAAGCCACAGTTTTATTTTGATGCAGGACCAAGACACATTGGACTCAACAGGATGGCCGTCAACCCTGCATTGGCGGTTGGATTTGCCGCTATTTTAAAATTTTTCGCATTTGAAGTTAGCGATAAAGAATTAAAAATTTTGTTTGCTAACGGCGCCAAACAACTGATGAAACTTTTGTCTACAACTGGATTTAAAACTGCTCTTAAAGGAGGAGCCAAGGTAAGATTCAGTAACTACACACTTCCTTTTCCTCAGTAAATCACAAATCTGATGTCCACACTACATCCAATTCTAATGCTTCTGTCACCCCAACCTGGCAACCCACAACCTGATCCAAGGGGCGTGTGTGTACGGGTTAGCTAACTTCACTTTAGCTGTAGTCAAATTATCAGGGCAGGATGGCGTTCCACCTAAAGAAATGTTGTTTTCCTTGATGCTGACATTCTGATAATGTTGAAAAATAAAATTAATCATGTATTGATCAGTTCCTGTTCATCATCATCATCAGGTTGTGGGAGGAGCTTTAGGACTGGCGTTTGCACTTCCTGAGGCGATTGACAACTGGACAGACCTGATCAAGAATAATCATGTGACTGAAGCGAGCCAATCACTGAGAGATACAGCTGACGACCTTCTGAAGATCAGCCGGACACTGAGGGAACAGTTTGACAACATCAAGTAAGTTTTCTGTCTTCTGTGTTAAAGGGATTCTTGAACTCAGCTTTCAGACCTGTAGCAGGAGAGTATCTGTTTGTTATCTAACCATCCAAAGAGACACTAATATTTATACTAGAATATGGATAATCTACCACATTGTTCCAGCGGATTTTGGAACATCCTGATGCTGCAGATGAGGCAAGTTATCCTCTTACCTGCAACCTAGCAAGCTAACGCCATGCTAGCCATTAATCAGAAATTAGAAAATGTAGACACAAGTTATTACTTCCTCTAAGTGTTTTCTGTACATTTCAGATGTGTTTGTGAGCCATCACTGATGTTGTGGTTTCTTAAATCCTGCTGAGCATCGTTTGTTTTCTTCACAGGGAGATGTTTGACCAGATGGCTACAAGTCAACGAGAACACGAGGATGATCGTCAAGAAGACAATAATAGTTCATATTCAGCTCAGGAGAATAGCGATCAGGAAGATGAGGAGCGTGACAGAGAGGATGAAGACAGCAATCGGGAGCGTGACAGAGAGGATGAAGACAGCGATCGGGAGGATGAGGAGGATGATAGAGAGGAAGAGACGGAGGACGATGAAAGCAGTCACGAAGCTCCTGCAGCAATAAGGGTGGGGTTGGTTAATGTTCGGTCGATGAACAACAAAACATCCAGGATCTTAGAGCTCATAACACAAAACTACCTGGACGTCTTCCTCACAACAGAGACGTGGTTAAATAGGGACACTGGAGACGATGTCCTTACTACAGCTTCACCACACAATTTTAATTTTAATCATCGGTCAAGAGCTACGAGAGGGGGAGGGGTGGCGATTCAATACTCACGGTACCTGAATGGTGAACAAATTCATTTCGACTTCATAACAACCTTTGAACATGTTGCCACAGTTCTGCAACATGATGAGTGGACCGAGCCGGTCCTGATCATCAATGTGTATCACCCACCGGGGTACAACCTGAACCGATTCCGTGCCTTTCTGGATGAGCTTCAAATGCTCTTGGATGAGGTTCGTGAAATCTACAACAGCATCATTGTAACTGGCGATTTCAACATCCATGTTGATAATGAAAGGCGGACCGCTACGGACGAGTTTGAATTCTTTTTGCTGATTAATGACCTTTTTCAGCATGTGGGGGAGCCAACACACCAGGCAGGTCACTTTCTGGATCTGGTCCTCACCAGAAATGTTGAAATCTCTAATTTATCTGTCCGGAACGATAGAATATCAGATCATTACACTGTATATTTCTCTGCAAGGCCAGCGTCGGGAGATAGAGAGGAGAAAACCAAAGAAAAGGCGGATCGAGACGAGCCGGCAAAGAGGAAGAAAGAAGAATAGAAAATATCTCAGGTTTAAGAAGTGAACTTGGAAACTCTTTTGCTTTGCTTTGAGTTGTTTTATGTTTATTTTGTAGGTTAGCTAACTTGGTGTTAGCATATTTCACTGCTAATGTGGCTAGCAGGCTTTGACTAGCTACCAGCAGCTAGCTTGCTCAGATCCTAAAGCTGCAGCTAGAGGCTTGCTGGGCAGTGAGATGAGATCCACAGATACACTTAATTAGCTAATTTATCACCAGTGAGGTACAAAAATGGCTGTTGAGCCACAATAAATCACCACAGGAGGAATTAGGGCGACTACGAGTATCTGGCACCAAGACGTTAGAAGCAGATCTTTGTGCCCGTTGTAGGCAGTTCAGCAGTGGACAGGGTCAGCATGGGCGCCCTGACTGGTCTGCAGCCCCATATGCAACAAACTGTGAAGCTCTGTGTATTCTGACATCTTTCTATCAGAACCAGCATCAAATTTTTCAGCAAATTGACCTACAGTAGCTCGTCTGTTGGATCAGACGGCCAAACTTCGCTCCCCACATCCATCAATGAGTCTTGTGGCCAGTTCACTTTTCACCTGATTAAACACTAATTTATCCTAATTTGATTTTTAATATTGAAACAAACCAGTTTCTAGAGAAAAGATGTAATGAAATAAGTCAGGAAAAATAAGACCTGAAATAACAAACAAAGGACGGCTTAAGTATTTGAGAAAGTACACCATATATTTGTATTATATACACTTGTATATAGACTTGTATGACACAGAGCAGGCTGAGTGTGAAGCCGAAGCGTTTGGGGCTTACAGTTTTTCTCAGTTGCTTAAACACTATAAACAGGTTTTTGATCTGAAATTTCATGACTATAACTTCATTTTTCAGAAAGCACACCCCTTTCACTAAACTCTACACACACACATCCCTTCATTTCTCATTGCCCACACCATGTGGTCATTTAGAGAGCACTAACAATCAGTATTGTTCAATCAAGTCAGCAGAGCTTGAGCTCAATTAGCACACAGCTACCCAGGTGGAAACACAAAGAATCACAACTGTTAACACACCGATCAGAACCTTCAACAGATGGATAAAAGGACCAGAGTCAGTTCATTCAGTTTTGGAACAATGGATCCAGGGAAATCTGAAGGAAGACGTAGAGCAGTGGTTCTCAAAGTGGGGTCTTTGATGGGGCTCCAGGGGGTCCCCCCAGCAAAAAGAGGAATTATTTAAAAATACTACTTTGGTCATGGGTTTCTTACACTTTCTGTAATAAAACATCTAAAAAGCAAAACTTTAGGGGTCCTTGTTGGGAAATAGTTTAAGAACCACTGAGCTAGATGACACCAGAGAGGAAGAGGTGGAAGAGGAGGAGAATATCTGGCCTGTCCCAGACCAAAGACAGGATGTTTGGGCAGAATTATTTGTTGTTTGGTGTGTTAAACTCTTCAGCACTCTACAGAATAAAAAATGTGTAAATGCACATTTGTTGTTTCTTTTGTTGTGTTCGTCGTGTTTTTGAGGGGCAGAACCAGAAGCAACATCACTTCTAACCAGTTTTTGTAGAATTGTTTTGTATGTATCTCAGCAGTGTGTAAGACTGTTGTAGTTTGTGTGTTTTTGGGGACTTGTGTGTCATGTCTGAGGGCAAAGTTTGGTTTTTCAGCAAGACTGAATGTTTTTGAGAGGAGCGCTTCATTTTGACCTGAAAATAGGACGTTTGGGGAAACTGGGTGAGAAGTTGTGGATTTGTTTAGAGTTTTGAGAAAAAGAGGCCTAATCTCAAGAAATGTGTTCAAGCAATCGAGAGAAACTGTAATGTAACGTGAGGACAGGATGATAATGAACCATGAACAAAGAGTCAGAATGTTTCGTCCTTCAGCTGCTCGGCAGGACCTTTCTCAGACGTGTCCTCCTTCAGCTTTAACGTTGCTGCCTCTAAGCCTTGATTTAGTTTAGTCCAGGAGCTGCTTCACTTCTGTTTCTGTGTGGAGCTTCTGTGTGACAACAGTGTGTTTGGATGTTAAATCCTCAACATTACAGTTTTTCTCAATTGTTTACACACAAATTCTGGTACTTGAGACACAATGTAACTCGTTCACCAACCCCCTGAACCAATTCTGCTAAACTACAAGCACAATTCCAGCTTTACACTCAAATTGCAGTTCTAAAACACACTTTTTTCAAAACACTACACACAATTCTCTGCTTTTGGCACAAGTTTGATGCAGAAAATATCTTGTTTTCACAAGGAACACACTGCCATTCAAATATGCACACTGACTCATCACAAGGGCAAACACCCGTCACACAGTTTTCCAATTAGCAATCAGAACTTTAGCATAAAAGGGCAACAGGTGAGCTCTTCAATGGAGCAATGGATTCCAACAGAGCCAGAGCCGAGCCCCGTAATCGCTGATGCGATCCGAGCCACTTTGGTTGATCATGTGGTCAACCATGGTCTAACAATGAGGGAGGCTGGGCAAAGAGTTCAGCCTAATCTGAGCAGGTACACTGTAGCATCCATCATCCGGACTTTCCGAAATGAGAATAGGTAAGAAATCTACTCTCACTAGCAAATTGCAGTACTGCATATCAGTACAGTACTCAATGAGTACAGAAGTACAGTATTGCCTGTGGACTGTTCTGTAGGACTGTAAAAATACTGTAAAGTATGTTTCAAGTATTTAGGAAATGTATACCTACTTTGTATTTACAGTATTTTACTATTTGTTTGGCAGAACTGAAAGATTACCAACACAAGGTGGTCAGGAACGTCTTCAGTCTCCTGAACAGGAAACTGAAATCATAAACACGGTCCTAGAAAACAACGTGATAACATTACAGCAAATATAAAGAAAAAGAATAGAAAACAATGACATATTTCAAAATATTGCTAGGGTAAGCTTATCAACACTGGACCGTGTCTTGCGCAGAAATCATCTGAGGAAGAAGCAGGTCTACAGGGTGCCATTTGAACGCAATTCAGAAAGAGTCAAAGAATTGCGATATAACTATGTGCAAGTGAGTCCCACAATTGATGCCTACTGTCAACACTGTATACAGTAAATTATACATATTTCAATGTTGTAATCCTGATTGTGCTTCACAATAGAGACCACTCCATGTCTATTTCTGATATTGTCATGTGTGTTTCAGAGAGTCCTTGAGCTAGAGGTGGCTGCAGTGGAGCACCAGTTCATCTTCATTGATGAGGTCGGGTTCAACCTCACAAAAAGACCAAAGAGGGGAAGGAATGTCATCGGCCAGCGTGCCATTGTTGAAGTCCCTGGCCAGCGCGGAGGGAACGTCACAATGTGTGCAGCGATTATCCATCACCATGCTACCCTTGGCCCCTACAACACCGCCCATCTGATCACATTCCTGGACACCCTACACAACACACTCACTCCACCAGATCAGGTAGACGGTCCAGAGCAGCTCAGGTATGTTTTCATTTGGGACAACGTAAGTTTCCACAGGGCTGCTCTGGTTCGTAACTGGTTCACTGCCCACCCACGCTTTTTAGTTGTTTATCTCCCTCCATAAATCCAGTGGATTTATTTCTTTTATATTTGTTTGACAGGGAAACTGTGAACATATAGTAATATATGAACTGAGAAAAGGGCTCTTTTCCCATTTTAATGTCGTGTGCATGTGTCTGTTGTCAGATGACTAATTGTGACTATAGGATGTCACAAGGAGAAAAAAAAAAAAAAGTATTAAAGATTTAAAACTGATTCTTTTTTTCCTTTGTGCAATGCATTGTGGGTGCTTTGTTTGGTCTATATAAACTAAAAGACAGCCCAACGTGACGTCTCACATTAGAACCGACTAACAGTTTGTTGAATGTACTCCTCACAGCTAAATGTGCTCCACTTCAACATGTGCAGAATAAAAGCTTCAGTGCGAGCAGCCACATGAAAATGTTCATGTATGATGTTTCTGACAGCAGAGAAAAGAGAGAGAAGGAAAACTGACCCCACTGGCCAGGGCCGCCCCACCACCACAACACTTGCCACGCGCCCCAGAAACAACTGCATGCCCTTGTTGTGGGAGAGCCGGGAGGGGCAAGTGACTGGAGCCTCACCCGTGCAGTTTTTTCTGATTGCAAACATAAACACTTGTAGGGCAGATTCACACTGAGCACATGTGACAGACGTGAAAGAATCTGGAGAAACCGTGGTGAACATTATGCTGCTTGCTCCCTTCTTTCTTGTTGTTTTGAAGAAGTCATATTCTGCTTTTTGGCCTTTTTCCTGTAATTCATTGAGATATTGCTTTTTTTGTGCATGTAACAGGTTTAAAGTGAAAAAGTCCAAATGGGGCCTTTTATTGTGGCCAGCCTAAGGCACACCTGTGCAATACCCGCTGGAGCTGGCTGAGTGAAAAGGAAAGGATTTATGGACATCTATAAAGGCTGGTGTGTAAATTTTCCTTCTTTTCCAAGTATCAACAAAGATGTTTGTTTGCGTTCAGCTGCCAATTCCACACCTGCGCAGTGGACCACAGTCGCTCTCGCGCATCAGTGGGAAAGTGTTTTCTACTTTACCAATGTAGTAATTTTTGCATTTTTGTTTATTAACTCCTTTTTCTGCCGTAACTGGTTTTTCTGGTAACATTTACCAGAGAAGAATATAAATATTGGACTTTCAACTGCTCATACTTTCCCCCTGCTCTTTATTGAACCTAGGGCTGGGCAATAAAAGAATAATAATTATTGCTATATAATTTAACATTAAGATACTCATCGCTTTTCACTGAATTTTTATCTTTGATATTTATTATTCCTAATGTTTTTAACTCATTGTGCACAGCCTAAAGAAGATAAAGACAGCCGAATCATTTCCCCTTTTAAAGTAAAAGAGCCGACACACAGTAACACTGGTCTGTCACAACAAATGTGACGAGGAAGATGCTAAACAAGATGATCAGATACTGTTGTGAAATTTATTTAAATATTCTAACACTTCTCTTTTCACAAACACTTCTGCCAGCAACAAGCTGATGGGGTCAGATCTTGAACTTAAGTATAAGTAGTAATACAAAATACTCTTATGAATAGTGTTATAAAAGTGTTGCATTCACAATTTCACTCAACTACAAAATATTAGCAACAATATAGTTTTAAAAAGTTAAATGATGATAATACTTTGTCAGATATTTTTTACATCAATGCAGCTCCATCTGCAACATCACCAAAAAGAGAGAAGTAGAAGTACTCATCATGCAGATGGGCCCATTTCAGAATAGTATTATTATAATTATTGATGCATTCATGTGTTCATCTATTTAATGTTGCAGCTGGTAAAAGGTGGAGCTCATTTTTATGACTTTATATACTCAGGCCTCCAGACTGCGACCATTTTGGTCACAAAAGAGCAAGTCAAAATTTCATGTGGTTTCATTCGTGCAAGTGCAAGGAGACCATTAGCAGGCTAATCATTAGGCTCTGCAGCGCGACCGTTTCACTGGCAAAATGCCCCTAAAGTCCGAGCACACTGTGCAAATTAATACTGCAACCTACCCTGAAAAAAGACATGAAACTGCCTGAACTGAAATTAATATTATACAAGTGGTGAGCTATACAGTATACCAATATATGAAATGGTTGCGGTATGAGGGCAATGCTCTGCTGTGTTCACATTGTGGGCAATGTGGCCCCTCCGTTGCAGGCAACTCTAATCTTATTCTTTGAAGTTGCACAACAACAGTAAGAAACACAAAACTTTCAGGGACCGATGTATCACACAAAATACTGAGCCCCACCACAATACCTGGACCTTAATACCTGGATTACCTCATGTTCTGGTGCACCAGTGCTACCAGTGGAAAAGTTAGTCTGGAACCCTGATACTGCTGCGTAGCTTATGAATTTCACCCTGAGGATCAATTTAGTCTAATCTAAACCTACAATAATACATCAGATATTGGAGTTCATTTTGTATTATTATTCTGACTTGTAACCAAAGTTGTCATCTAAATGTAGTGGAGTACCCTTCAACACACTGTATTTTTTCCTTAAGCCCAGTTCACACTACACAAGTTTTAGCCCAGTCGGCGAGCTCGGTGACCGTCGGGCTGTGATCAGGGGTAAGTCAGTGATCGATCGGCAGTCGCCAATTGTTATGTGTTAACTATTCAAGGATGCGTCAAAACAACTCGTCAACGCATCACTGACACATCACAGCCGCCAGCCAGATATCTAGCATGCCAAATATCCGGCGGACTCGGCTGACTCGACATCCACATCCAGCCAGTGAGACCAGGCAGCTGCTTTTCATGGCAAAACACTTTTTACTCCCCTCCAGCTCTCTGTAGCTCAGACGATCCCTGCTACCTGCGTGTGCTGATCCATCCTTTCACCCAGATTCTGTCTTTATAATAACAAACAACAGCTGTTTCATGTGTAGGTTCGCGTCGTTTCACATTTCACGTGTGTTTTCTTGACAAAACGTGGTTTGGAGACTAGCTGTCAGCTCATGTAGTGTGAACTCCACAACGACTTCAAGACTCCCGTCACAAGACGGCAAGTTGGCCGACGCTGGAAGTCGTGTTGTCTGCATGAGCCTTTAAGAAGCTTTAATGCTGTTTAAATCGGTGGATCTGTTTGACAGTATGATGTCCTGCATATCTAACAGTTTTATAAAGTTTCTTTTGTGCATCATTTAGACTCATTTCCCCAAAGTACAGCTTGATAGATCTGTTTTCTGTGGAACCTTTGAGATCTCCACTAGAAGTTGAAATGAAGTTCGGTGGGTCTGAACATGTTTGGCTGCACAGAATGAGCTTCTGTCTTCACTCTGTTAGACGTGTTTCTTAATCTGATGAAATCTTAACTGAAATAAAATGTAAGCATAACTAGGAATGATTGCAAAAGCACACGTTGCCACACAGACCAGATGAGCCCAGAGGAGGTTATCAGCCCTGCCTCCTCTCTCTATCATTTCCCCATAAAAGGTGATGCTGTGCAGCTCTGACAGCCCAAAAATGAATATTAATAATCCATCTGTAGAGAAGGTGTGGCCAATCAGCTTCCTACAAAGTGACCAGCTCTGCCCTGTCAAGCTCAGAGATCAGAGGTTCCTCTGAGACTCAACAACCTCCAGACTGTCGTGACAGACTGCGATCACATCCAACAACCAACCTCCGGCCCTCCGACCAACCGGCCGCCTGTCGACCAACCGGCCGCCTGTCGACCAACCGGCCGCCTGTCGACCAACCTCCGGCCCTCCGACCAACCGGCCGCCTGTCGACCAACCTCCGGCCCTCCGACCAACCGGCCGCCTGTCGACCAACCTCCGGCCCTCCGACCAACCGGCCGCCTGTCGACCAACCGGCCGCCTGTCGACCAACCTCCGGCCCTCCGACCAACCGGCCGCCTGTCGACCAACCTCCGGCCCTCCGACCAACCGGCCGCCTGTCGACCAACCAGACATTAACGAGACATCAGGTCTGTCTACTGAGTCTTTTGGGCTTTGATGAAGAAACTGGGTTCAGGCAGACAGGTGTATCACTAAGCAAAAGAGATTATGACACATGATCTGTTCCTCTAGATCACACCAATCGGAGTGTTCCAGGTGGTTTTTGAATTCTTGACCATGTAGAAGCATTAAGCTCCAGCAGGAATAGCACCTCCTAGTACAACTACTGCTATTTGTACTGCTGCTTCTGCTTTTACTGTTCATCAATACTACTTCTACTACTAGTAGAACTTTTGCATGTCTAGTTGCTGTATGAACTAAATAGTGTTGAGTCGTAATGAAGAAGTAATTAAGGTGCTTGTGTTTGTCATGTTGTGTGTTGGCAGTCATGGCGTCTCCTGGCCTGCTGCTGCTGCTGATGTCGTCCTTCCTCTTCCTCTCCATCGTGAGCGTCTCAGCGTCTCCTGGCCAGAACCAAGTGGAGGAAGTCACTCAGAAGAAATTAAACAAAGCGAAGGAAGGGGCTAAAGCTTTTGCAAAATATTTTGTCAACACCATTGACCAGATCAGACTGGCAACCACCCCTTTTCTGGGGTTGATAAACCCAGCTGTGCCCCTGGTATCTGCTATTTTCACTTTAGCAACGGTGGCAGTGTCACTAATAAACAATAGCCTAAAAGATAATCCAATTTTAGACGCTCTCCAGTATGAATTTCAAAGTCTTAATTCTAAGCTTGACAAATATCACGTAGAGCAGAAGTGGGACACCTGGGCAGCAGGTGCCTACCACAAGCCAGAGAAGAACATTGATGTATCCTGGAACACGTACGAAAAACTAGTGCCGAGTCTATTCCGCAGAAAAAATGACAATGAGAGGGAGAGAATTAAACAAGAAATTATTAAAGTCTGCTCAAAGAGCCAGCCCGCCACTCAGACCTTGCTCAAGTACCTGACAGTCGAAGGACCAACCTTAACAAATAACCTCGCAAAGGACCTGGCTGCTCATGTTAAATGTCATGAAAAGGATCTCAGAGAATACACCGTGTTCATCTCTAAACTCATCTACAAGGGCAGCACACTGAATCTCTTATGTTACAAACTCAAGCAAATAGAGTCTAAAGAATTAGTTGATGGGGAAGCTGACATTGCATACAACTCTGCATCAGCTATGTTCCAAATCCACAAGAACTGCATTTTAAACAGTTTTACATACATTAAACCAGAGGTGGAGGAGCTCATTACCAACTCCAAAAAACGTCAACCACTAGCAACTGAGGTCAGGTCTTTCTTGGTGCAGAATTATGGCAGGTATGACTGGATGGTTGTTGCATTTATAACCCAACGTTCCAAACATAAAATAATTGAAACACTCAACAGCCACGTCCTGACAGGATTTACTGAGATTAAAAAAGGGAAAGTTAGCGTGGGCGTAGCCAGACAGGTGAAAGGGACTCACACAAAGGCAAGTCGAGTTAAACAAGCCATCATCAGCTGCTTTACTAAGCCAGTTTTGTGTTATAAGGTTGCAGAGAAACTCCGTGAGTGTAGAGGATCTGTGGACGGTATTCCAGTGTCTCAGACTTACACAGCAGTACACGCCTTTTTAAGAAAAGCCCATGACAGTCACGATGCAAAGGAAGTAGAGGATGAAGTCTCCGCCGACCCTCAAGACACTTCATCTAGCCCTCCTTACATTTATACAGGGAAGTGTGAGAAATCTCCAGGTGTGAAGGGTGGCAAGTTTGTGGTTATGATCAAAAGTGATGAAGAGATGATGACTAAAGATCCCTGCTCCAAGCTGAAGTGTGGTGGTGACCGAAGAGGGAAATGTGTTCGTGTGGAAGACACCTTTGTAGCCATGTGTGAGTGCAAGCTGCCGTACTATGGACAGAACTGTGAGCAGAGCTTAGAAGATTACAAGAAAAGCTTACAGAGCTCCATAGAGCAAGTTTTTAAGCCAGCAGTGGTGGACAAGCGGCTCCGTAATCAGTCTGTAAGAAGGGCTGGTATCTGATGCAGCCGGGAGTCAACACCTTTCATGAAATGAGTTTCTCGTCTTAGATGGACACTCCAACATTTAGTTAAGTCCTCTTATATTATAATACCTGATATTCAAAGTCTTTAGTTTCCCCTTATTTCACAGTCTTCAGCTTCCTACTGGTTAACAGTTTTCTACAGAGTCCCAGAAGAAAAGATATTATCGTGAGCACAAATGATCTCGTATCGTGTGTCCAGATAATGTTTTGCAAAAAAGGCTGAAAATGAAAACTTATCTATTGGCTAACGTGAAGCTAAAGATTGCTGCAGCTGAACCACATAGTTTGATAAACAATTACTTAAAAAATGAACTCAACAAAGACTTTGACATCAATCTGGATTAAAACAAACCAACATTACTCCTGTTAAACAAACAAAGCTGAGTGTGGGAGCTCATTTCATGGAGTTGACTTCTCTGATAGCTAGCTTGGTGTTTCTGACTGCAGCAACTGAGAATGTAAAAACTTCAGAACATGTTTCTCTGATGGACAGGTGTGAGTACGAACCTCAGTCTGTGATAGCCACGTCTGACATCCTCCCATCTGTGTTAGTTATTACATCATCAGCTGCTAGGCAGAGTTTAGCTGCAACGCAAACCGCTAAGTAGAGCGAGCCTCTGTCCACAGACAGGAGGGACGACGTTCCTTCAGACAGTCACATTAAAAACAAGTGAAGAACAAACTAACATCAAAAGGCTTCTGTGTGACCTGATGCTAACGACCACTTCCTGCCTGTCAATGACATCAAACTGGACAGAGTTTAAACCACTGAGATGCTTCTTCTGCTTCAAGCTTCTGTCCTGATTTTCTAAGTTGCTGAGATGAATAAAGATTCAATTTCATCCTCTCTGGTGTGTTTTTATTTTTATTTTTTTTTTACGTACATTCTCTTAAAAAAAGAACTAACGTACTGTTGAATCTGCATGTTACAACCAAGCAACAAGAAGAGACAGAAAACCGGAGATAATCTGCAAATTAAGTAACATACGGTGAGAACAGGCTGAGTTAATAAATGTGAAAAAACATGATAGCATTGTTCAGTCAGATCGTTCCCCCACCTCAGTGTCCTCTAATGATTTGCATCAACCGAAGGGTCCTCTAGGTGGCGTTTACACCCTAAATGGTTGTTTCTGCGTCTGTCAGGAAATTGACAGCAAATTTAAATTTTTCCCATGACAAATATACAATTTCACATAATTTGGGAACATTATTTTTTACCATATCTGTGAACAAATTTTCACAGATATGCCAGTTTTCTGCTGGACAGGTAAGTCAGTCCAACTTGAGCAATGCCAATTTGGCTGCACAAAATGATCTTTTTAGACAGGTTTCTTAACCTTATGTTATCTTAACTGAATTTCAATTTAATCAGGCAAGAAACATGGGTTGCCACAGAGGTGAACCCAGAGGACATTATCAGTCCTGTGTTATCATGTGCCCATAAAAGATGAAGCTCTTCATCTTTGCAGCTCTGCCTGCCCAAAAATGAATTATACTCCAGCTGTTGAGAAGGTGTGACCAATTAGCTTCATACAATATGGCTCTATCCTGTGAAGCTCAGAGGTTCCACTGGGACTCAGCAACCTGTATGACCAACCTGCAGCCCCCTGACCGACCTGCAGCCCCCTGAACGACCTGCAGCCCCCTGAAACCGGCCACCATACATCAGGTAGACTAGGGACGATTCTAGGACCAACCTTTAGGGATTCTCAGCCCCTGAAAATGTAGCATGGATACAGTGCTTTGCAAAAGTTTTCACTAATTGTTGGAGAGTGAAGTACTAGAGAGGAGCTGGTGCAGAGCAGAGCGGGACAGTGGACCAGTGGGTTTACTCCCTCGGAGGAGGGAGCGTGGAACTAGTGTTTCTCTAATAAAAGTGTTCAGTCTTGTGTTTTCAGTTAAGCCTTGTTACCTGCACACTTTCTCATTTAAGGACGTAGTTTTGTGTTGCAGATTGTGAGTTTCAATTGTCAGTATTTTTTAATTGTTAATAAATATCTTTATTGGTAGCACAAGATCTTGTTTTTATGGCCCGGTTTTCATTTACATTTTTTATATTTGTTTTCATGTGGGGGCTCGTATGGGAAATCCCCCGGCAGTCTAGGCCTATAGCAGCATAAGTAAGGGATGGTTCAGGACTCACCTGAGCCAGCCCTAACTATAAGCTTTATCAAAGAGGAAAGTCTTAAGCCTACTCTTAAATGTGGAGATGGTGTCTGCCTCCTGAACCCAAACTGGAACCTGGTTCCACAGGAGAGGAGCTTGATAGCTGAACGCTCTGGCTCCTAGTCTACTTTTGGAGACTCTAGGAACCACAAGTAACCCTGCATTCTGGGAGCGCAGTGCTCTGGTGGGGTAGTAAGGTACTATGAGCTCTTTAAGATAAGATGGTGCCTGACCATTAAGAGCTTTGTAGGTAAGAAGAATGATTTTAAATTCTATTCTGGATTTTACTGGAAGCCAATGCAAAGAAGCTAAAACAGGAGAAATGTGATCTCTTTTCCTGGTTCCTGTCAGAACATGTGCTGCAGCATTCTGGATCAGCTGAAGAGTCTTAATGGACTTTTTCGAGCAGCCTGATAATAAGGAATTGCAGTAATCCAGCCTAGAAGTAACAAATGCATGGACTAGTTTTTCTGCATCATTTTCAGACAGGATGTTCCTGATTTTCACAATATTACGTAGGTGAAAAAAAGACGGTCCTTGAAATTTGCTTAATGTGAGACTTAAACGACATGTCCTGATCAAAGATAACTCCAAGATTCCTCACAGTGGTGCTGGAGGCCAAGGCGATGCCATCCAGGGAAACTATATCTTTAGATAATGCGTCACGGAGGTGCTTAGGCCCCAGAGCAATAACTTCAGTTTTATCTGAGTTTAACATGAGAAAATTACAGGTCATACAGGTTTTAACATCCTGAAGGCACATTTGAAGTTTAGCTAACTGATGAGTTTCATCTGGCTTGATCAATAGATATAACTGAGTATCATCTGCATAACAATGAAAGTTTATGGAATATTTCCTGATAATATTGCCTAAAGGAAGCATATATAAAGTGAAGAGGATTGGTCCGAGGACAGATCCTTGAGGAACTCCATGGCTAACTTTGGCGTGCATGGAGGACTCATCGTTAACATGTACAAACTGAAATCGATCTGATAAATAGGACTTAAACCAGCTTAGAGCAGTTCCTTTAATGCCAATGAAATGTTCCAGTCTCTGCAATAGGATCTGATGATCAATGGTATCAAATGCAGCACTAAGATCTAATAAAACCAGTACAGAGACAAGTCCTTTGTCTGATGCAATAAGGAGGTCGTTAGTAATTTTCACCAGTGCTGTCTCTGTGCTATGATGAGCTCTAAATCCTGACTGAAAATCCTCAAATAAACTATTGCTCTGTAGAAAGTCACACAGCTGTTTAGCAACTGCTTTCTCCAGGACCTTAGAGAGAAATGGAAGGTTAGATATAGGTCTATAGTTGGCTAAAACATCCGGATCAAGTTTGGGCTTTTTCAGAAGAGGTTTAATTACAGCTACTTTAAAGTACTGTGGTACATAGCCTGTTGATAGAGATAGATTGATCATATCTAGTATAGAAGTGCTGACTAAGGGTAAAACATCTTTAAGCAGCCTAGTCGGGATGGGGTCTAAGAGGCAGGTTGATGGTTTAGATGAAGAAATTATTGAAGTTAGTTGGTAAAGATTGAGGGAAGCAAAGCAGTCTAAACATATATCTGGTTCTACAGCCGTTTCTAAGGTTCCTGAGTTTAGGGATAAGTTGGTGCCAGTTGAGGGCAGGTCTTGGTGAATTTTGTTTCTAATAGTTAGAATTTTATCTTTAAAGAAGCTCATGAAGTCGTAACTACTGAGAGCTATGGGAATACTTGGCTCAATAGAGCTGTGACTCTCTGTCAGCCTGGCTACAGTGCTGAAAAGAAACCTGGGGTTGTTCCTATTTTCCTCTATTAATGACGAGTAGTACGCTGCTCTGGCATTACGGAGGGCCTTCCTATAAGTTTTAAGACTATCTTGCCTAATTAAACGAGAATTTTCCTGTTTGGTGGAACGCCAATTCCTCTCAAGTTTCCGCGATATTTGCTATAATTTGCGAGTTTCAGTATTATACCATGGAGCTAACCATCTTTGTTTTAGTATTTTCTTTTTTAGAGGGGCTACAGAGTCGAGTGTCATTCGCAGCGAGCCTGCAGCACTATCAACAAGATGATCGTAGGAGTCCTCCGTTACTTTGTGACTTGATAATGTATTTAGAGCTGATGGAATTGCATCCTTAAATTTAGCTATGGCACTATCAGACAGACATCTTGTATAGACATTTTTGCCCAGTGGCGAGTAGTTCAGCAATACAAACTCAAAAGTTATCAAACAGTGGTCGGACAAAGAGGGATTCTGTGGGAACACCACTAAATGTTCAATTTCAATACCATACACCAAAACAAGGTCGAGGGTGTGGTTAAAACAGTGAGTCGGTTCATGAACACTCTGAGAGAAGCCAATGGAATCTAACAGAGAGATAAACGCAGTACTGAAGCTGTCATTCTCAACATCCACATGAATATTAAAATCCCCTACAATAATAACTTTGTCTAACTTTGTTTAAGGACTAAAGTAACTCTTAAAAGAGTGTGAGCAGAGCAGAAAGAAAAGGGTCCACCACCAGCCTCAGTTTAGCTGTAAATGTACAGTGAAAGTTACAGTGACTCATGAATAAAGACTGCAGCTCTGCAGCTTCTCAAGATCAAAGTGGAGCTTCCGTGTTTAAACAATGTAATTCTCTTATAGCATCCAGACCATCTCCTGGTCTTCCATGGCATCTCAGAAGGAAACCCCAAACCACTCTGTTTTTATTTTACTCTTTTTTTGCTGCTGCCATCTAAAGTTGAACTTTTGTCTACAGTATGTGCTGTGAACAGGTAGGTTATTTTATTTGTACCCGTAACTAGATTTGTTTTAATTGTTCCATGATATTTTTAAGTGTAGCCAGGTTCAACCGGCAACGGGTCTGTGATCTCATCCCTTAACCTCCTGATGCTTCTGGATCTCCTTTACAAAGCAATACTTACTTTTGCAAATGATCATTAACTGTGTAACTGGACTTTCTGCCCTTTTATTCCTTTACTCTGCCTTCAGCTGGTAGATAACCCAAATTAGTTTTCACATTTCAGGGATGCCTACTTTGACTAAGAAATAACTATTAGAGAAGCTCTCTCATCCCTGGTGTGTGAGAGAGCAGGAAACAGTTTGGCCTGAGCACTCTCAAGCTTAACATGTAACGTACATGCAAATGGGCACAGATTTGGTTCTGTTCGTGCTGATAAACTGTAATGCATGTAACTGCAATAAAAGCCTTTATGATCTGACCGTAAAGTTCTCCTGCTGGAAGTGTTGCTGATGGCAGCTTTGAGTGGTTGACAGTGGCAAGGTAAGGTTCAAGATTTCTTTACATGGTTGCCCTTTATGTCCCTGTGCAAACACAGAATGTTACTGTAAGCCATGGCCTACTGCTGTGTAAGACACGTGTTTGCTGACAACATATTCACAAGCCTGTCATTGAGAAGCAAAGTTGTAATTTCATTGGATCACAAAGCATAGAGAGTGCCACAAAGGTGGTGTGGTTCAGCACACATGAAATAAGCCCAAATGGTGCATTCAATGCCATTTAAAAGTCTCGTTAATATGGGTTCACTTCGGTTTCACAATGATTTTGGCCGCACCTAGGAGGTATTATAAGGCATTATGTTGGTAACGTAGTTAGTCATTCAGTTCCAAAATATTCAAAAAAGATTATGATGCATGTGCAACGTGAAGCTGGTTGGTGGTTGTAG